CTTGTTATAACTGTTTTTTCAAAGGCAGAAGGCACAACATCTACTGAAGAGAATAGAAGTTTCTGGTTTCGGTTGAGGGGTTTTTGGTGGTTTTGGCCCTGACCTGACCTTTCTCAGTCTTTAACCCCTGTGCTGCCTGGTAGGCAGTTTTCTGTCTATGTAAGAGATGCATATTCAGTTGTTCAGTCAACACATACAGTTCATACCAAGTAGATTCTTAAGGCTGTTTGGGCTCTGAGAACATGGGAGTGCGACAGGGTGTGTGTGAATGGAAGATAGACAGGAAGGAAGGATAGAGTTCTTAGAACTCCAGAGGCACAAGGAATTTGTTCTGCATGGAAGGGCTACTTCAGTGTGACCTTGTAGAATCAGAGGTATTTGGATAGGTGGAAATAAACCATGAACATAAAGGCATACCAGGGAGAGGCAAAGGCCAAAATCTAGTGTGTGGAAAGCAGGTAATGAGCAGATCAGTTTTGCTGGGATGCATGTTCTTCAGGGAGTGTTGTGGAGGATTCAGATGGGAACAGTGGTTGTGCTGGATGATGAAAGGCCTGGGTAATTGACTAGGTTGAAACCTATTCCAAAGCAAGTGAAATAAATACAAAAATTGACCAATATGAAAACAGGATTCAAGCTGAAGTATGATCTCATGGAACGCTTGACTTTCCCCAGTCCTCAAAGTCAAGCAGTGACTACTTCAGCACGGCGTTTGTCAAATTGCAGGGCATCACTTATTAGAGAGTTTTACAATTGATTCAGTGGGTTGAGCCCATTTCATTTTAGATGAAAAAAAAAAAAACTACAAAGTAGATAATATCATCTGTCACACTAATAAGGATAGATACTATTTAGAGAAACTTCCATTTGCTATATATATACACACACACACACATACACACACACACACGTGTGTGTGTGCTAAGTTGTGTAAAGTCTTCTTACTGTACTTTTGGTGTAAAAAAGTCTGTAGACTACTGCTTATGGTGGCATGAGGGAGCAGCTTTTACCTTAGAACATTTGCGTCTTTCTAGATGACTGTCTCTGGTTCTTCTTCCAATGTCAATGGCTGTCACTTGTTTCAGCTCCACCCACTTGACTGCTTTGTGCTTTAGCTGGCCCCTTCTGTGTTACCCAACTCTTGGATCCCATGGTGGTCTGTACTAGCAGCACATGTTTTTATTTTTCCAGATTTCCTTTTGCTGTTTGTGGGCTTTTTCTTAACCCGGAACCATCTCTTTAGCTCTATTCAAAGGCATCCTAAACTGAAGGTTCTTGCCACAGTTGATCCTGATGTATATTATTTTGAATAGAGACTCTTATCACTTCTTTTCTGTCAGTGTTTTTCATTGCATTTTTGTATGTTTTTTGATCTGAAGTACATTTAGAGGTTTCAGATTACTAGTTAGTTCTTAATGTTTTCTTTCTTGATGGTTAGTCACCCTTGTAATTTTATGAGCGGGATAAAGCTGCAGACTTCTTAAAATATGGGTTAAAAATAAAAAGGAAGATATCTAAAGTTGTTTTTAGGATTAAAAAAATAAATTGTATTATATACTGAGAAATAAAAGTTGAGATTTGTCTAGCAGGTTAGAAATTTGCAGGCAGATTGACTGTGACATTTTAAATTCAGAAGTATATTTGTTTTGAAATAATATACATATAAGTGTTTAGAAGCCAGGTAAGCCAGTCCATTTCACCAGAAATGGAAGAAGGAAAAATAGAAAACAGCCAAATGGTGAATGGAGCCAGACTGCCAAGCTCTAACTTGAGGAGATGAAGTGAGATCTGTTTTGCAAACACAGCCTACTCATGGTATAATTCTTTTTCTGGAATTCTCAGTATTTTAGGTTTTTTTTTTTAAATACTCATTGTTAATTATTTTTTGAAGCTGTATTGATTTATACTTACCGTTATTTATTTCATAAGATACCCTGATATTTCTTAGCCACAGACTAACAGTTTCTGAAGGCCAGTTTCTTAAGACCCAGTGTGTGGAAATCTCTGTTCTGCCAGTAAGAAGGAGCATTGGTTGTTGGGCAGTTAGAACTTTCCCCATAGTTTCTTCTGGAGGAAATTTATATATGCTTAAGGTTCTCTTATTTATAAATAGAAAAAACTTTTGTTGTTGGACTCTAAGGCAGATATCAAGCAGGTGATACTAAAGCTTTTATTCTTTGCCCTTTAGTGTGATTTTAGTAATATTTTGGAGTTCGGGGTTAGTTCGGTTATGGTGCATTGTTGAGGAAGAATAGATTGGATAGTATATTAAGCTGTTAAATATGTGTATATGTTTAACAGTTCTCTGGAAAAATGCATATGTATATAAAGTTTATTATAAATTTTACTGCTATGTAAGGATGAGTGCAAACAATAACAGGGTTTCTAAGGAGGAGTTTTTTTTCTTTCTCTTTGAAAAAGGGTGCCAGAAATACTCTGACTAGCTGAAATAAAAGAGGGAGTACAATACTGGGATACAGAGGCCTGGTGGAATCAGAGGATCATTGAAAAAAGTGCCTTTGTTTAAGGCTTATTCCTTTGTGGGTGTTAGATTTATTCCTACTGGCTGCCAGTTCTTCTTTGCCCGTCGCTGTCCTTCAGGCTTGCTTTCTTGCTTCCTTCCCATCCACCTCAGAATGTGTTTATCCCTTACCTTCTCTCTCACATGACAAAATTAAGAAAAACCTTTTTCTTTTTCTTTTTTTTTTGAGACAAAGTCTCACTCTGTTGCCCAGGCTGGAGTGCGATGGTGCAATCTCGGCCCACTGAATTTTCCGCCTCCTGGGTTCAAGCAGTTCTCTTGTCTGAACCTCCTGAGTATCTGGGATTACAGGGGTGCACCGTCACAGCCAGCTAATTCTCGTATTTTTTTTTTTAGTGGAGACGGGGTTTTACCATTTTGGTCAGGCTGGTCTCAAACTCCTGACCTCAGATGATCCACCCACCTCGGCTTCCCAAAATGCTGGGATTACAGGCGTGAGCCACCGCGCCCAGCCAACAAAACTTTTTAATTGGACTTTCCTTGGGTCCCCTTGCTATCTCCATCTAGTCTCCCACCCCTTCCTCCTCTCCCCAGCAGTGAGGCCCTGGTCCCATTCACTTCTCCCACTACCCGCTTGTGCAGCTGCTTACTTAGCAGCCCTGCCTTTGATTGCTTGATTTGTTTTGAATCTCAGGATGGTGAAATGATACATGAAACCACCCAGGGTTTTCACAGACCAGGGCTATGGCTGGCCAGAAAGGACTCTGGTACTGTCTTTTTGAGCTTCATTTTCTTTGTAGCATTCTTCCCTGATTACTGCTGCCTCTGTCTTCAGAGTTCCTACTACTCTCCTTAAAACTGGAGCTGAAGGATAGACAGAAATTCCTTTGCCTAAGATAAGCGAAATATGGTCGAATTATAAAAGTACTTAAGTTGATTTTTAGATCATATGTTAGAATCTTTGAGTTCTTTTCCGTTCAGTATCCTATGCGAGGTTGCCCCCAGAATACCCCATTAGGTTTTTAGACTCTTCAGCCTGTGATTCCTTTCTAGATCAAGCGCCGTCTGAGGAGGTCTTCTGGAGAAAACAGTGGGCAGTGAGTGTGGCTGATGAGTCATCCTGGGGCAGACAGAACAGTGCCCCTGCGGAGTGTCTCATTGTTGACTGATAGCTGCCCAGTCACTGCTGCCTACTTGGACCTTTGTTCATTGTACCCCATGCAATACTTTCACTGAAACTTTACGTTTAAATTATTCCTTCAGTTTGTATTGAGGATCTTATAAGAAACAGTTGTGTGAAATTTCTTACTTTATTTTATGCATTGCTATCATATGAGTGTATTATCTATGACCCAGTAAATAAATAACCAGTAAAAAAATACTTTTTTATATGTAAAATGTTATGACTATGGAATCGTGTAAAATCTTTATATACATTTTTAAAGATGAGTAAAATGAATACTTATGTACCCATGACACAGATTAAAAAAATAAATAAATTATCAGAGCTTTCATACTCTTAGCATTCCTTCTTAATGCATTCTCTTTCCTTCCCTCAACCCTCAGAGGAAATGGCATCCTAACTTTTGGACCAATGTTTTCCTTGTTTTTCTTTATGATTGTGCCACTCATGTGCATATCCTTAAATAAGGTGTATTTAGTTTTGAAAACCTGAGTATCAAGCACAAACCTAGCTGCTTAAAGGAGAGGACACTATTGCCATTGTTAGATGAAAGTTCCCAGAAGAAGAGAGTTTCTGAGTCATGGTCTTTAGGTTCCCTGAGGGAACTTTCTGAGGCCCTCAGGAGCTCAGCTGAGCTATGGGAGGGAGCTGAGCTGTCAGGTATGGGAGTGGCTGGTTAAAGGGACAGGCCAAAAGTGAGAGTTAAGCCTTTAATCATTTACTGTAATGGTGTAAGTAGGATGTGAGGACCAGGATATCTCACCCTCATCAAAAGGGAGCAAAAGGCTCCTGCAGTTTGTGGTTCTTGAGGTGGTGGGGCAAAGGAGAAGGGCTCAGAGCCAAAGAGAGCAGAGTCTGAGTCAGAGTGGGGAACAGCCACTTTAAGGAGCCCCTCTCCACCAGGCCTCAGCAGAGAATGGGACCAGGAAATAAAGGTGCGTGGGCTAGGAAGGCAAATATAAGAAGAGGTTTATCTCTCAGAAGTGGCTGAGTCGTTGACTGCAACTCCCCTGAGAGAATACAGTACACTGGCTCTGCACCAAGCCTGGTGTGTGAAGGGCGTCTTTTCTCTGTGATGCCTGCCAGGCAAAGCCTTGCGTATGACCAGGCCTGAGAAATCCCATATACGTTTTCAACCAGGAGCGTGATTCCTCAGGACATCAGTAGGCAAGGTCATGAGCTAGTCCTGGGATAAATGTGGGACTCAGTCGGTAGGGATATCTGGCAGAAATGTAGTGGCCAGGTACTGCATATCTAGCAGAAATATCATGAGGGGATGAGCTGTTCCCTCTTTCTAAATTCCCCACTGTTTACCCTGGCTCTGGCGCATATCAAAGCAGAACAACTTCTGTGAGTGACATGAGTGTCTTTAACTGATGCCAGCAGTAAAGCATGTGGAGCCAAGATAAAATACAGATGAGAATCTGGTCCAGGCTCACACAAATAAAATGTGGAGATTTTGGGCATGAGTCAGTACTTGGTTCTGGATTGGCCACCTTCCATGGTTTGTGTACATCTGTCCTCTTGGCATTTTCCTTTGCCATCCCATTGGGATTTCCTTGACTACTCTCCCCTGTTGGATCTCCTGTGCCCTTGTCCTGTTTGTTCCTCTTTCTTGGTTTATTTTCTCACTTTGGTAGACCTCATCTTCTAGTAAGTAGGTCTTGAGAGTAGATAGCTGGGAAGTAAACATTTAGGAAACTTTGCATATTTGAAAATGTCTTTATTTGCTTCCATATTTGGTTCACTGCTTGGCCAAATATTGAAGTCTAGACTTGAAAACATTGTTGGTTGCTGGCTGGGCGCGGTGGCTCACACCTGTAATCCCAGCACTTTTGGAGGCTGAGGTGAGCGGATCACGAGGTCAGGAAATCGAGACCATCATGGCTAACACGGTGAAACCCCGTCTCTACCAAAAAATACAAAAAATTAGCAGAGCATGGTGGCGGGCGCCTGTAGTCCCAGCTACTTGGGAGGCTGAGGCAGGAGAATGGCGTGAACCCGGGAGGCGGAGCTTGCAGTAAGCTGAGATCGCACCACTGCACTCCAGCCTGGACAGCAGAGTGAGACTCTGTCTCAAGAAGAAGAAAAAAAGAGAATGTTGATTGCTGCAGACGGTGCTATTCAGATGTTCCTAAGTTATTCAGATTTCTAAACCTTTGTATGTGACCTGTGCTTCCCCTTCCTCTCTCTGGAAGATTGTGGAATATCTTCTTTGTCTCTATGGTTCTGAAATTTCAGAGCATTATGTCTCAGTGTAGATCTGCTTTCATGTGTTCTCTTGGACACTTGGTGGGTTGTTTCAGTCATGTTTTGATTTCTGGGAATTTTCTTGAATTATTTCTTTACTTACTTTATTCCCTTTGTTTTCTGATTCAGAACTTTTATTGTTTGGATGTTCATAGTTCCCGCCCTCTAATTTTCTTCCCCCCAACCCATTTTTAATTTATTTGGCTTTGTTCTACATTCTAGAACATTTTATCAGCCTTATTTTTTCCTACCTTCTGCTGAGTTTCTATTTTTCATTATCATGCTTTTAGTTTCCAAGAAGTTTTGTTTGTTCTATAAACATTCCTTTTTGAAAAATAGTATTTTATTTTTGTTTCATGGATTCAATAAATTTTCCCTCTGAGGGTATTAATGATGTTTTTACCCTCCCGGAATAACTTTGGCATCTTCTAGCTTTTTTTTTTTTGTGTGTGTGTGTGTGTGTGTGTGTGTGTGTGTGTGTCTTTGAGCCATAGTTTCACTCTGTTACCAGGCAGGAGTGCAATGGCATGATCTTGGCTCACTGCAACCTCCGCGTCTGGGTTCAAGCAATTTTCTCTTGCCTCAGCCTCCCAAGTAGCTGGGACTACCGTCATGTGCCACCACACCTAGCCAATTTTTGTATTTTTTAGTTGAGAGGGGCTTTCACCATGTTGGCCAGGATTGTCTTGATCTCTTGACCTGGTGATCTGCCTGCCTCAGCCTCCCAAAGTGCCGGGATTCAGGCGTGAGCCACCGCGCCTGGCCTCACTTGTTTTTTTAAACATCTTCTTTACCTTCCATGTTAGGTGCTTTCCTTAGATGTCTGGCAAACTTAGGCTGTCATGGTTAAGGCTAGAAGACCAAAAAAAGCTGTATAGAAGCTCTAAATTGTGGGTGGAATCTGTTAAGGTTGAGTTTTTATATAGTTTGAATAAATGATGTGAGCAGAACTTAGAGTGACTGCCAGTTCTTTGGTTTGCCTTTAGATGTAAAAGAAAATATAAAGTAACAGATGTCTTTTAGGGTTGTAAAAGGGAGGTGCAGTGTTTTATTAGGTTAACTAAAATGGAAGATTATAGAAGATTTTTAAAGAAGTGATTGAGTAGAGGGGAGAACACCTAAATGAGTTGAAGAGACTGTCTTCTGTGTGAGAATGGAATAAGGTAGTGTTTGCAAAGGACCCAGAGGAATGCTTGCCTTCCAAAATATTTTTTGGTTGAATACATGAATTGATAATTAATAAAATATTGAAAGAAAAACTTAGCTTGTGGTTACCATATGTGAAAGGCACAATAGAAATATATTATCTGTCATATAAGCTTTACTAGCATTTACCGATTTAGCAAGTGTTTTTCCAGTGGACTCATTCTGAAGCTTTCCTTCTGCAGATTCCAATCTTCACTGAAGACTGTTTTTGATTGGAGAAATTCAGTACATGTATAACGCTTATGTGCGAGGCTCTAGTCTAAACTCTTTGCAGTCAGAAATTCATTTAATCCATATGGTTACTCCATGAGATAGGTAAACCACTTTATAGATGAGGAAACTGAGACACAAGGATATTAAATAACTTTGACGAGGTCATTGGCAGAGTAGGGATTTGAGTACCAACAGTGCCTCCAAAATGTGTGCTCTGCTGTCTTTGAGAATACATTTTAAATGTTCTTTCCACAGCAATTAAATTGTCTGCAGCTTTAGTTAATTTTTGTTTAAAGATTCTGCATAATGAAGAAAAAAGTGTTTATTCCATTTCCAGAGTGAGTGGTATTTATATTTCATAAAAAGTTTTACTTAAAATGTTTTAAAGATACATGACACTAAGAAGGATCTAGACTTTCTGTTCTCTTTTCTGTTTGCATGTTCCAGAATATTACTGTTCCATAATTGTTCATTTCTGAAGGATTCTGAGGTCCCAGGATTTTTCTGTTCTTCAGCTGATATTTCTGTACGCATTGTTTTGGTTTGATAGGTGGAAGTTTACTCTTTCTAGTGTTGTCATTTTTCGGGATCCTATTTTGCTCCATTTGTGGCTGTCATACATGTAATTTTATACATGTAATTTTATTCTAATAGTTTCCTCAGTTAATTTTACTTAGATTCATTTATTGAACTAACTACACATTGGAGGGAAAGGTAACATACTCCGTGTTGGCGGGCGGATTCTTAAATGTCTGCTTTTGTGATTACACATTTCCCCAACTCCTCATCCTCTAGGTAAGATGACTGTAACTCCATACCTTCACATGGTCTGGTAGTTTGTAGTTGGTAATTTCAGTATGGAAAGTTTCTCTTTTTTTTGGAAGATTTTTCTTTAATGGTTTTCAAGCCAAGGTTAAAATATACTGTATTATTTCTTTTGGTGGTGACTACGAACATCTATTTTAATGTTATCTGGAACATTTTTATGATTTGTTCCTTATAAGTACTTTTTGGCAAGTATCAAGAGGTCTCCAAATAAGTTAATTGAACAACTTTCTTTCTATTAATGTGTCCTACAATGGGTATGTTACTTATTAGTATGTTTTTAAACTGAATTTTCACTGCTTTGTATATACATACATATCTTTGGGCATTATTCAACTTTTTCTAATCAAGTACATCAGTGGTCCCTTGCCCCATCTGTCTACCCGACCCCATCAATCCCTTTGTCTAGGGGAAGCCACTTTCAGATCTTTGAAACCTCAGCAATTCTAATACGTAAAACCATGGTCCACAGTTACATTATTATGACTGTAAAAATATTGCTTACTGCTGAATTAAGTAGTATAAATAATTGTTTATTTGGTAACTTAAAATTTTTCCTGTGGTTAATTATTACTAATATTTTGTTTTCCTTGGTGTTCTGTATGCTGATTAATTCCTCTCCAGATCTACAATGAACTGTAAAGACTTATTTTATACTTTGTCAAATGTATAAAATCCATTATTTCATTTCTCCCACTCTATCCCCTGGGGCCTCCCTCCTGGAGCTTCTGTCTCTGGTTCCATCCTAGACCCATCCTTCCTTGGGCTTCCGTATAGCGATTCCCTGGGAGTTTTGTTCGCCACCATCCTGAGAATTCCCCTTTCCTGTCTTGCTTTGGATTCATTGTGTTTTGGACCCCAAGTTGGTCTCTTTCTGGTCTGTTTCATCCTTTTGAGGATCATATCGTCAGGTAATTTCCAAGAGAGTCACAGAGATAATTTTAAAATACATTTGTTTGGCATGTTTGAATATTTCCTTTTTTATTTTTATACTTAATTACTGGTTTGCCTGGTTGTTGATTTTAATTTTTCCTCAGACTTTTAAAGGCTTTTTTCGACTGTCTTCTAAGATGGTGTGTAGCTTTTCAAAAGTCTGTTGCTATTCTACCGTTAGTTCCTTTTGTGTGTGGCTAGTTTTTTCCCTCTGGCAGCTTTTGGGTTCATCTTTCTCTGTTTAGTCCCCTAAAAGGTCATGATGTGGCAGATATTATTTCATCCTTCTCATCGCATACTTTGTGTGCTCTATCTCTCTGGGCACTTTCTTCACTTTGGAGGACAACGTTTTTTAGTATTATTTCCATAATGACTTTCTTATCTCCATTTATTTTCCCTGTTTTCTTGAAAGTTATTGACTGGATATTGGACTTCTTGAAGTCGAATTTTCTCAGGGTTTTTCTCCCTTATTTTATTTTTACATTTTATTGTCATTTCTGTTAGATTTCCAACTTCAAGAATCTTGAGTTTGAAAATTTCTCTAATTGTTGCATTGTCTTTGTTACTTCTTGGTCCCCCTTCAATTTGTATTAG